TTTGAAAACATAAAAAAAGAGTTAAAAAAAAAAAAAGAGCTACGTAGTGTATCTTGTGCCTCATTTGAGTTGTTCCTTTCCAGGGCGTGGTTTGGACTTCTGTTATGGCCACATGAATAGTTTAATAAGTATATTTAGTTTGGTTGATTTTATTAATTTGTCTTTGAATAATAATCGTTTTTTATATCTTACAAGAGACAAATATTTTTTTTTACTTTAATCTTATGATTATTTCTTAATTTTAATTATTTATCATCTAATATAATATTTTTTTTATTTTATTAAATTTTTAAGATAAAATAGATTAATATAGAAATGATCCCCAAAACGTTAATTTCAAAATAAAATTAAAAAAGATTTATTATTCTAAGATAGAAGAAGTAATAACATATAGGCAAAATGGATGGCTTGAATCCATTGTGGTGCACTTAAATGATTAAGAAATCATTTGAATCATGTTGAGAATGCAGATTTGAATTCTTCAAACATTATTTAGGTGCAAAAAATCTTAATAAGTCATACTTGTTGCCACTCTTAAAAGTAGAGTTTTATTTAATACTTGTGAACAAAGTAATTTATCAGTATTCATACCATTAATCAAATTAAAGGCTTAAATACTCTTATTATTATTATTATTATTATTATTTTAAAAAAAGAAAACTAATGGCTTGAAATTTTGGGCCATCCAAATCACAACAAATTATCAAAGTGAGTTCGAGCATCTAACACCTTCAGGTTGTATTTAGTTTATGGTAATGACCATATTTTTGTTGAATTATAAAAATTAAGTAAATTTAAAAAATTTCTTTAAGAAGTTAAGAATAGTTAAGTTTTAATGTTAATATTTTACTAAAGTAAGTGGTGATAAGTGATGTGAACTTTTGGTATTGAGATTGGGTGCCCCTCGGTTCACCAGTATGTCAAGGTTACATAATTTGTTTAATTTTTATCTTAATTGAATTATTAAAAATATTTAATAATTAATGAAATAATTAATATTTATTATTATTTAATTAATAAATTAAAATTAATTTATATTTTAAATATCAAAATGTGTTAATTTTTTCT